CATGACGGCCATTATTTCATCAAACAGGATTCCTGTTTTGCAAAAGTGAACTATTCTCACAAACATGCTGACATGTTGAATGGTTATTTTATAGTGATGTGAAAAAAGAGCCTCTGTGGTTTATTGTCACATTGTTTCACTGATGCTAGAGACATCTTTCCAGTCCACGCAGCATCACAGCCATGAGTAATCTGTGTGTGTTCATGTGTATGTCCTTCAGGTTCTCCAAAGCTTAATGACAAGGCTGCCTCTATCTCACTCACACACACACACACACACACACACACACACACACACACACACACACACACACACACACAGAGCCAGGGGTTGTTTGACGGGCTATTTGACTGAATGGCCTATCACCATGGTTACAGCAGCACTCCATCAGTCCATTCAAGGAACAGATGGCCGATGTGCAACAGGAGGCATATGTTTCAATGAACACACACACGTATTCACACAGGGGACAGACACACAAACACACACCCACAACACATACACACACTCACACACACACACACACACATACACAGACACACACATGCATGGATGCGCCCCCGCTCAGAGGGAGGGTATTGAACAACCAGCAGCATATGTTCCACTAGTCAGAGAGCATTCATTCAAGGACAGAGAGAGAGGAGAGGAGAGGAGAGAAGGGGGGGGGGGTTGGAGATACGCAGCAGAGGCAAAAGAGCGAGGGAGAGATGGGTGGAGGTGGAAAGAGATAAAAGAGGATGAGAGGAGTAAGGGAGGGAGCTGATTGGAGGAGCAGAGGGAGGGCGGGACAGAGAGCCACCACTGGACCCAAACACACAGTGTATGAGCTGATGTTGACCTGGTGGTGAAGAGAGAGGCCACGCCCCCTTTTCTGTACAGTGAAAACCTCAAGACACCTGGTGAGTGTTTTCAGCCGATTCGATGAGTATTATCTGTGGTTATTAGACTCAAATAACTGGTATGTTTTATCATCTTCTCACTCAAAGACGTCCCGTGTGAAACATTGCTTTACATTTCATTAAGCTGGCTTTTATCCAAAGCGTCTTTCAGTAAGTGCAATCAACCATGAAGACACAAACCAAGAACAGCAGGAACTCCTGCAAGAACATTAGCTCTCAATACGCCACACTGTTCTAGGTGCGACATATAGAAATGAGAAGTTTGTTGTTCGTTTTTTAAGTTGTTAGCCAAGGTGCCGTTAAACCAGACTACATTTTCAAGGTAAACCAGACATTTTTAATCATGTTATTTTATCTTTTTAACACAGTTGTATATTTAAAATAAAGGTTGTAAAAGAGCTGCCAATTAAATAGGCCTGGTTTAGTTTGAGTTACTCAAACACACACATGCACAAAGCAGTCTGGGAGTTGTTCCCTCTGTGTTTTGGCCTCAGCTAAAGAAAGACGTTTATATTTATAGTCTCTGCTGTAAATACAGAAGGGTTATATTTGCTCACTATGGCTCTGTGTATTTTTGGACGACTGTGTCAATTTGGTGCGTGCGAAAAAAACAACAAAAGAGCCATTACTGTGGCCAGGATTCTTTCTTTGTGTATTTACACACACACAGACACAGAGAAAAACACACTTACACTTACACAACACACACACAGAGAAAAACACACTTACACTTACACAACACACACACAGACACAGAGAAAAACACACTTACACTTACACAACACACACACACACACACACACACACACACACACACACACACACACACACACACACACACACACACACACACACACAA